AAAGGCTGAATTAAGTGCACAATCCTCAAGCCTCCCATAACACTCACTCTCCCCCTCCCACTTAGCACTCTCTTCCACTTTTTATATACATGCCATTTTAATATATTATATTTTTATTCCCTGGAAGCTCCTTTTCTATATCATAACACCCCTTGACATTTCCATTTTCTCCTTTAGTCTATAATAAAGAGATTCTTATCTTCAAGGCCAGCCCCTCCCCATTTCTCATCTCCCCAACCCTCACCGTGCCCATTGCTTTTCCTATTAGATCGTTCCTATAATCATCCCCTCAATCTTCAGCTTACTAGTTCTTTTTTTACTGTCTACAAACATGCCCAGGCCTCCTCACTCCTTAAAACAAAACAAAACCCCTTAAGTGGACTCTGCCATCTCTTAAAGCTATTCTGTATTCTCTCTTTCTAGCCAAATTCCTGGAAAAATTCCTTTTTCCTTTCTGCTTCCACTTATTATCATCCCACTACCTAACCCTTTTCCATATTGCTTCCAATCTAAACAGCTTTCTATAAAGTTACTGATGATCTCTCAATTGCCAGATCTCAGTGGCCTCATTCCTCATTCTTGCTTCCTCTGTAGCATTTGATTATTCTGTCCTTCTGAATACCCTGCAGGTTTTTAAACACTCTTCTGTTTTACCTGTTTGCCTATTCCTCAGTCTCCTTTGCTGGTTCATCATTTATATTCAGTGTTGTTACTCTCTTTCTCCTCCCCACCCTTCCTGAAAACCCCACCACCACCTCTGGATATGTCTCAAGACTATCTTGGGTTTTCATCTTTCTATAATTGGTGACTTCACTAGCTTTTTTAGATTTAATTATTATGTCAATGCAGATGACTTAGATCTATATGTCGCACCCTAGTCTCTCACCTGAACACCAGTCTCACATCACTGATTGCAGAGTAGAACATTTCAAACTGGATATCCTATGGGCATCTCATTTCCAAAACAACTCATTTCCCCCTAAAGCTCACACATTTCCAAATTCCATTTTATTATGAACTTAGGAACCCCCCAAATGAGCATTTCCATATACAGAGCAGAACAAAAAAGATTTACTATGGATTTCTTTTTTTTTGTAATTCCTTTTTTGGTGAGGTGATTGGGGTTAAGTGACTTGCTCAGGGTCACATAGCTAGTAAGTGTCAAGTGTCTGAGGTCGAAT